AGCTGCAGAGCCTTGCCACATGGCATGTGCTTTTGGGCAGTCTTTTGTGCTGGCTGGCAGTGACACTGAACCACTGCAGTGGGGAAAAGCTAACAGCAGCAGCTGGAGTTAATGAATCCTACGTCACCCTGAAACAGAGATGGGAATCCCGGAGCTCAGGAGGGTTTCATGGAGGTCTGCTGCAATCTTGATGTGTGAGTGACTGAAGGAGATGAAAGCCCATCTGGATGGGCTAAGGAATATGTATGCACTTGAATTTTTTTGCATTGCATTTAATTCAGTGCTTGCACATTAGTTTTTTTTCCCCCATCTCTTTTTAAGGTTCATGTGTTTTTCTGGGTAAGGAAAGATATGAGTGGTGCATATTGTTAGATGAATGTCTACTATGATTCTGTTATTGTGTGCTGGGCCTTTAAAAATAAAGTGTTCCCCAGGCTGTTGTCTAGAAGGGATTGCTATGCATCAATGCAAGATGGCCCTTACAGTGAGTTACACGCTTGTTTTTCTCTCGTGTAGTTGTTATTTCTCTCCTTGCTTGTTTGATTTAATTTGAAACAAAAGCTATTCTGGTTGTAGTCAGTTTTGATTTAGGTGTTCAGGAAATGGAGCAGGATTAGGTCTGCGGAAAAGATCACCGAGAAAATCCTACAAGAACAACACATTGCTTCACCCACCATCCCGTGAAAGCCAGGTCTGGTCAGGACATTTCCTCTGCACCACCCCGACCCTCTGGGAAGAGATTCTGAACTCGACAATAATCCAGGGCGATTTTCTTTCCCCTTTGTGCTCCCTCCCTCCAAAATAAGGTCCATGTATTATAACCAATGGTCTAGAGAGCTGAATGGATCCTTAGCTGCAAAACTCATATAAGGGTTCCTGATAATGAGAAAATATTTAAGAAGCCATCGATTTCTTTCATTTATCACTGGATAAAAGTCTCAAATATCAGAGATATATCTAGAGAAGCTGTGGGTCAGATGCTTCTACCACGTATGTATTTTTGTCACAGAATCAGCTCACTTGCATCATAGTTTGGGAATAAGAGACTCAGCAGCCTCTAAGGTGAACTTGGCCTCACAGAGTGCGCCTTCCTAGGGGGTTATTTTATTCTCTTTGTTGTACCTTCCTGTCAAATATGATGGGAAATCAATGATGAATAGGAGGTCCCTAATCTCCATGGATACTTGTCCCTGCATGGTGTCAAAATCTGAGTTGGCTGTTTATTTTCTCATAATTTACATATGACTAATTTACTTAGCAAGGGGAGGGGAAAGAAGGAGGCTATCTGGGGTTGAATTAAAAAATGAGAGAAAGGAAATTTGGCAGTGGTTCTCAATTGGAGCTGCTGGGAGGCCTCCAGAAGTCTGTCCCATACCTGCATTCCCTGAGCTCGTCATCAGCTCTCACGCTTTGTTCTGCGCTCACAGCAGGGTCTCGGGGGAACACAGCTGCTGCAGCTGCTTGTAGACCAAAAGGTGACCTTTTGAGTAGCCGAGAAATGATGCATTATTTAGTGCATTCCTGGCTAAAATGGAAATGAAATGATTTCGTGAGCAGAATGGTTTGTTTGTCCTTTCACTTGGATGCATTCTCTTTGCACCACACAATAGTGCAGCACACACACTGCTCCTCGTGTTTTCTTCTGGGTAAAGCTTTTGAGAAGACAGGCATTGCACTTTAAGAAACACTGGCTGTTAACTAGAAGAACCCTAGTAACCAAATGTAACAAGCTTCAGTTTAGAGGTACTAAGTTTGCAAAAACCAGCTTCTATTTAAACAATGCGTAGGAGTGAAAGCTTCCTGGTGAAGTGTATGTCTCTGGACTATCAGCTGATACTGATAAGTATCATAATCAGCTGTTACTTCAACATGAAGTATTTTACTTCTTCCAATTAATCAGGAGTCTCTTGGAAAGTGCCATAGCAGGACATTAATTACGGGGATGTTTAATGAGTAGAATATCTGTTGCTCACACATAGAGAGGCTTAAGCAACTGCTTCCCAGTGATCTGTGATAGCCAGGTACTCAGGAACCCTGCATATCCATCGGGCAAAGAAGGGGAGGCCGGTGGGAACAATTTTTCACAGTGTTGAACTTTAAATTTCCTATGTGATCTTCCAGACAGATATTCAAAGAACCTGAGGCTGGAGCCTACCTCTCTTGCTGACTGTGAATGAAGACCACAGTATACTCTGCTTCAAGTCCACCTGGTCTTGAACTTTATAAATGCCTTTAAAAGATATATCTAACAGTGTTTTTCCTTTGAATTTTCCAACACCCATTTACGAAGGCTTGAAAATTCACATGTTTCAGATGGAGAGCACTGAACTGTCAAGGTAACAACTGATCAGAGAATAGCCAGTTTTCTCCAAGAGATGAGCACATGGAGGGACCTGGGGGAAAATCCAGTGTTTACCAGGGATTTCGGTGAGCTCAACAAGCCCTGGAATGTAGGAAGGAGAAGAAATCTGCACAAATGAAGAGGTGCCCAGCAGACCATGCTATCTCATTGGAGAACCCAGTGGTAAAAATTCTCCATAAAATGATAGGTGTCTGCTTCCATGGGATTATCTTTATTAGTAAAAGATTAGATGCGGTAAGGCAAGTAAACAGAGATTCCATAAATGACTGCAAGTGTTTCAGTTGCCTTTTTGGCATCATCTTAATTGTTACAACAAACAGCACCAGATTACAAGAATGACCACCTTTCTACTCAGAAGGTAAACTGCCTTTAAAAAGAAAGGAATGAAACCTGGCTTTATGATTTCTAGGATCCCAATTAATTAAAATGGACATGACTAGAGAAGCATAAACACCTGAGCAGCTTTCAAGACGTTTCTCCAGCATGTTCTTACTGACTCCGAGCCCTTATTTCCAACCACCGTGTCTGCTCATCCTATTGCAGCACTCTTCAAACCAGCCTCCCCCAAAGGATCCAGCAGATGCAGTCTGGGAGAAGAGCCGAGCATAAGCTGGTAAGCATTCACTGCAGGGAGTTCTAAGTGCTGTGGGATTTAGTCAAACAGCAAAGTACAAATTTCTACTATGACTCATCTGGTGTAAAACTAGTGCTAAGTATTGTACATAATTAAGACAACATTATTACAGTGAGATAGCACTTCTTTTTTTGGCATGGTTAAAGCCTTGAGAAGCTGTAATGTTTTCAGCCTTCAGAGCTGTGAAGAAGATGAAGACTTCTGATGGGAGTTCATTCTAAAGAATGTCATGGCTACAGTGAGTTTAGATCATAATCTGCGTTATTCCTGAAGCTCTGCATGTGTGTTTCGGTCGCCTTCATGAAAGGATGTGTTTTTTGTGAGAATAAACACAACCTTAAAGTAGTATTCATTAGATAAGACTTATAACGATGGCCTCTCTAGGCATTCCAAGGGTTTGCTGATTTTTATGTCCACAAATCACATATTTTATTTTGAGCCATGTTTCTCAAAGAGGTGCTATTGGTAGTTCAAGTAACAGACATAAAAAATTATATTTACCAGTGAATGCAATAGAAAATGTTGGCAATAGTGGTGTCAGAGAGCTATAGATTCTACATTTGAACACCGACTGTTAGCAGGTACAGAACAGAAGTATGTCAGCCAGTGGCCCTACCAATGGGTAAAGTTAAACAAGTCAGTTGTCATAATTTGCCTACTTGCCCCAGATTTTTCCTTCAGACGTCCACAAATCAGCTTTGTTTTTTATGAATGCATGTTCTCGATGAAAATTTGTTGTAGTATAATGCAAACAAATTCAGCTTATTGGTTGCTCAGAACCCATTTATTCAGGTTTCTTGCTTCTCATTATCCTTAATTGGTAACTGCTCTTTATGGTGTTATGATATTGTTTCTGTTCATTGATTAGCTGTCTGACTTGCAAGCAAGAGGTGGCAAATCAGATGGCAAGATGGTGTCATGGACCATTTTAGGGGACGAGACTTTGAATGAACCCATTTCTATCTGTGTATTCCAGTGGATGCCTTTGAAGTATGTTTATGCTCTTACTTGAAAATACATTGGCGGCTACTTCAACCTAACATTACCACCACTTTTCTTATCACTTCCTAACGTGCTTCTTGTACACCATTTTCACGCACATCTCCAAGGAATTATCCAAGTCAGTCACAGGGACTACAGAGTTTCAGGAAGAATCCCAGGTAAACAGGGGCACATGGGTAAAGATATCTGAGCCACGGCCAGTGAGCCCCTTCTTTTTGTATGAGTTGAACAAACGATAGTTTTTTACAAGTCTGAAGATTAAGAATTCCAGAGGCCTTTCTGAGAAAATGATTGTGTAATATAAAGGATAGGTCAATTCCTCTTTTGTTTGCACTGCTGTTTTCCGGATGAGTTTCCAATCTATTGGCAAAGTAGTAAGTGCTCCTCCAGCAACCAACCGCTGATGTTTTGAAAGGAAATCAAATACAGTGTAAGGTTGCGGAAGAAAATGGCTTGAAAGAAAAAGAGTGAAAGATTGCACCATTCCTATGATACCTGCAAAAGTTTGTGAAGATTACAGCTGGGAGAGAGATGGGCCAGAGAGAGATCAAGGGGTCACAGAGAAGATATCTGCCTGCAGAGCTTTGCCCTAGCATGCCTTCTTGCAGGCTCACAGCCTAGAACTTTGTAGAGGTTGATCTGTTAGGGGCATGCAGCCAGAGGTGGAATTGCAGGAGAGGATGGATAAGCCATGGATAAGCCTCAAATGGAGACGGCACCTGTTGACCATGGTTATTACCTTGGACTTTACATGGTCTTGGCAGGATTTACACAGCTTCTGGACACATGAGAGAAATACTGTGCACACCTATTATTCTTCATAACATAGGGTTTTAATATTAGCTGAGCAGCCAGGGACCCTGCTGCAGGTGCGTGCTGGAGTTGCCCTCCTGATGCAGTGCCTCTCAGCTGATCTGACTTCTACCTTTACTCCAAGTATGAGCTCATTACGAGCACAAAAGGAAAAGAATTTGTATTCCACTGTGCACATTGACAGTAATTTTGTGGATGCAGCACAGCGCTATAGAAAGACAGGTACATGTAGCGCTTAGAAGGCATTAATTTCTTCTTCTGTTTCTCCTTTTTTGAACCACGCTGCAAAAGGTTACAGTGGGAACAGCAGAGCAAAGAACTTGCAGACTTCACAAAAAGCAAAGCCTACAGCTTGTGCTGGACGGGTATATTTGGCACACATCTGCGATTATGAAATGACTTCTGAATTGCTTTTGAACTTCATCTGGATAATGATTCACCCTTTCAATTTCCTTTCTCCCTCCAGAACATCCGCCATTAACAAACCAGCCAGTTGTGATGTTTTACAATCCACACTTGAACCTACTTCTCAAAACATTGCACACTTCCTTAAAAAAGCAATTACTCAGCTCATTTGCACAAAGATAAGGTCAGTCTTGGGACTGAAAGATGGATCAACAACCCACTTTGGCAACCATCTTTGAAACGACTCAAGAAGCGGTTGCACTAGAGACTTGTTAAACTGCAACATCATGTTGCAGAAATGCAACATCAACAGGCAGCTCAAGTGTTTCTGACTTGGTTGAGCTGAGCCCATTACAGGATTTAGGCATATGCCTAAAGATGGAATTACTTACGCGACTGAAGTTAAGATATGCTTAAGTGTTTTGTTGTGTATGGGCCTACACACTGCATCTGTGTTTGTATTAAGAAGAAAAGCTGTTCTACGAGACATTTGAGCATTTTAAAGTGTATTTTTGTTCTCAACTGGAACAGGAAGTTTTACCCTGCAATGAAATTTAGGAAATCTTTAATTTCAGAAACCTTGTAGTTGAGCGTACTTGAAAACATCGTGTGTCAGTAATGTTGAAACGCTTTGTGACATTAAGATTGAAACATTGCATGTCCACATATGTTACTAAATTAATTAGAACCAACTGTCAGCTAAGCATGCTGGGATTGCCTGGGTTGTGTATTACCTACCCCCCCCCCCCCCGGGCGGGGGAGAGAGATCAAGCTTCTTGGCTGAGGTGCTATGCTGCATGAGCACTGTTGTTCAACCTCGCACTAAACCAAGGATATTCATGTGTGCATGATGTAGAGCTGGACCTACCAAACCCTGCTCAGCCCAAATGGCTTTATGTAGGGACATCTCAAGTGTCTTGTACCACGTCTTTGATGCGAGCGCTTCAGCGACACAGGGCATGGCCCCTGTGCTTGTGCTTGTAGGTGGTTTGGGTCTTCCTTGGCTTAGCAGTTCTGGCCTGGATGTATCCAAGATGACTCCGCACTGTCCAGGAGCCATGACAGTTTGGGCACAGCACAGATGGATGACCCTCATTTGCATCTGATGCTGTATATTACAAGTGGGCCCCTCTGAGGCTGAGGGCTGCAGGTCTGCAGCACCCAGGCTGGGTGCAGGACTGAGCTACAGCTACTTAACTCAAGCTGGATCTTTCCAGAAACTTTAAGATTCCCCTTCCTGAGCCCCCCGAGCCTGTCATGCCATAGACATCCCAGCATCCAGTACCTGGGGACTGCAGCTTGGCTGCAAACCTAAAAGTTAAAATGATCAAATCAAAGCTAAACTTGTTTTGTAACTTCTTGCTGTTTTACCATAATCAATTGTCATTTTCTTGCAAAATGCTTCAGTGTTATGGAATCAGCATTCACTAAAAGGAGACTGATGCATTGGAAAACATTCAAGCAGCTCTGTGAGTATAGAGCAAGAATGATAAACAAAGCCTTACCGGACTGAATATATGGTTTGTTCTCCCTGTCTCTAGATACAGCGGCTGTTCAGAAGGGAGTAGGTATCTGTCAGTAGTCTCTGAAAAGGGGATCATACAAATCATGCTTCCCCTGCTCTTCAAGTTACAGTCCCTCTTCTCAGTCTTGTTGCCTGGTGGACCAAGTAGGGTTGATCCCTAGGCCAAAAGCTTCTCTTTGGGTGTGTGGGATTGAGAAGACAAAGTGGTACTGAAGCAGTTGCTTTAGAAAAGTCTCTTTCTTTGGCCCAAATTTGGTGAAATTTATTCAAAAGAATGGTTTATCTAAAATGGCTTTCCCTGCTTAAGTCTCTGGGTAGTCATGGCTTTGCTTTGATGTCCTGTCCTTTTCTTTTGGAGTTGAAATAAAAATCTAAGGTCCACAGCCTTTCTGTCTTTATCAGCTTCTGGGTCAGCTGGCTGCAGCAGAGAAGTTGTCCACTCCCATTTTTGAGAGATGTTCTTTAGGTGCTCAGCTCCAGAAAAACCAGAAAACTTAGCTGGAGCCTGTGAATATTGTCCCTTATGAAAGACCCCTCTGCCCTAGCCTGGCTTCTCTCTTACTCTTTCTGTAAGAAATTAGGGCAGCCCCTAGTACCAAACCGACTGAATGCTTTGGGTTCGGATGTCAGTAAGAACAGGAGTGGGAACCGGGATTGTATGTTCATAAGAGACAATATGATTGTTTTTTTATTTTGCCACAGTTACTACATGTGCAGTTATATTTCTGTCTGAGGAAGCAAAACGCCTTCACAGATGAATACAAAAAGATGCATGTGTTTTCCCAAGGCTGAACTCCTGAGCTTGTATGTACTTTACTGTAATCTGACACTTATTGTAAGAAATATATCTTATGTAATTGGCAGCAGCAGGTATATATTCTGAGGGAAAAACGTTTATAGAACTCTATACTGTGTATCACTGATAATGATTTGCAGCAGTACCTTCCATAAAAGTAAAGGATAATTTAGCACTTCAAAGCCAGGCCTCAAAACCAAAATAAAATCCTTTTCTTTTTCCGTGCCTAGGCTAGGATTCATCTCACCTCACCGCAGACATCGGCAGCGTAGACACATATGGTAGGACCCATCACCCTAGGCTCCCTTTGCAGTCAATACGGGGAACAGGCACTTTTAGGCCATGATTCATCTGACCTATTTACATGTCTGCTGTAGGAGGAGATGAATCACTGCCTTGACTAGATCTGTGTGGAGGATAAAGGGAGTCTAAGATGGCCAGCTCAGATGTAGATGCTTATATGTCTCTACAGTTTGAATTTAGACTTGCAGTCTGGAACAACAAATTTTCAGAGAAGAGTTAAATTTCCTAAGCTACATTTTCCCAGCAGAATGTGTGTACGAATATATATATATATATGTGTGGTTTTTTCCTTCTTGCAACAGAAACATTTGCAACGTTATCTTTTGAAAACTGGCCCTATATCCCCTTCTCCAAATGTTCTACCATCTGAAGAGCTGCCATTTTCTCTCTCTCTGTCTCTGCCCCTCTTTCGCACGTACAGACGTGTGTACACATGCCATGTTTCAGAGCTGGGCCTTCTGAATTTTCAGCATTAACTTAAAATATACTCCTCTGTGTGTGGTAGCCGGAGCTGTTACACACAGAGAGATATATTAGCTGGTTTTGTTTTTTAAAAAAAACCAAAGCAAAATATGCAGACAAAACCACCAAATGAACATTTCTGAAATTTGCTTCTGTTTAAAAATATCATTTTTTATTCATATTTTCTGCTAGAATCTGCTCTACTCTGCCTGCAGCCGTGGTGTGGCAGGGCATCGTAGGAAGAGGAATGTCGGTTTCTGGGAGACAAGTACTGGTGCCGAGGGAGGGGGAAAACAGACTCCATCATCTTGGAAAGGGTGCGCATTCCCGAGCAAAGCTCTGAGAAGACAAGAGCGAGGTAATATTTTCCTATTAGTATGTATAGAAGATAAGAGTTGAAAGAGTCTGGTTTATGGGGAGTGAGGATGATGCCCTCGCAGGTACACTTGTGCACATGCTGCAGCGTAATGTCCCGGTGCATCTGAACACCCACCCAAACTGCAAAAGGCATGAGGGTAATATTTAAAAAAAAGGAAGAAAGGGAGTCACCCTTTTGCTGAGCTTTACAATGCTCAGCTGCTGCCGAGGAGTGCTTGGTGTAGCTACAGCAGTGGTAGGCAAAATATCCCTCCCATCCAGCCGCTGGCACGCGGCACAGCAACCCGTTTATGTGAGCACCTGGTTGATCAGTTTGCTTGTGACAGATCTTGGCACGCCCCCTCCTCTGGCTGTAAAGCTTTACTGACTCTTGTGTTTTGCGGGATTTTTTTTTTTTCCCCACAAACTCTTGTCTGGCATGGGAGGATTTGGAACAGAGCGACACTGGCTCTGGTGAGAGCAGGAAACTGCATTTTGGATAACCCTTTGCGGTGCAAGCTTTCCCGCCATTTAAGGGCTGTTCTGCGGGGATGGGAAGGAAAGGCTGTCCATCATCCAAAGTCCATTGCAGTGGGAAGGGTGCCCGTGACTGAAAAGGTCTTTGGCAAAGGCCACGAGCATCTGAAGGCGGCCTCTGAGAAACGGGCATGGGCTTGCGGTTCCCCACAGGGAAGTGCCGAAGCGGCTTCAGGAAGAGAGAGTGCTCTTTCGCCGGTCATCCCAGTGCATCATCCATTAAATATAAGGCCCTACAGGAAAACCAGGGCTTCATGTTCTCCGTGCCCCCTTCTGCATCAGCCCTGACGTCAGTAGTTTCAAGCCGTGAAAGTTAAATTAAGGCCAGCACAGTCTAATAGGCAAGGGAGAGCAAATGCGAAGAAGTCAAGGTAATGAGAAAATACCTGCCATCTGGAGCTGTCATAAGCACAAATTTACATCACTCCCCACAAAATAAATAAATTACAGCTGGTGGAACATTACCCTCCCTGGACGCAAAGCCCCACTCCTGCCGCTACCACCAAAAATTTTGGCCTCCCTGCTTTCCCCGTGATCATCGGCTTCTGCCGAAAGCCCCGGAGAGACGTGCATGGGCGCGGGGAGACATCTGCAACCGCTGGCTGTTTGAGCACAATGGCTGGGGTGGGATCTGTTCAGCTGCATCCGCTCGCTCCCTTCCTTGCTCTGACGGAAAGTTTTCCTCCCGGCTCTGACAGCACCGCAGCCACTTGGGGAAGCACATGACTTCCTCGGGAGACGGCGTTCCTTATTTGTGTTGCAGGCCTCCAGCAGGCATGGCACCGAGGCAATATTTATATCAGTTTTTGTAACATCATTGCAGCAGCTGCAATTTTGGGAACTGAAGTGCTGGCTGGAAGTGGAGCGAGAGGCACAAAGCACACCACGCCACGCTGAAATCAGGGTGTAAGGGGAGAAAAAAGAAAAAAAAAGAAAAAAGAAAATCTGCAACCAGCCTCCTCCCCCAGAAAGCTCGTTGTGTTCCCGGGTGCCAGGGGTGCCACTTGCCCTCCAGATGGTTACCGCAGGGCCCATCTGCCTAAAAGTGAGTCAATGGAAATCGCAGCTCAGGATGCCAGCGACGGGACCCGATCTCTCCCCGCGGGGCGCCTGCGCTCCCTGGGGAGCCGGGCAGGGGAAGGGGAGTCCCCGGGCTAGGTGGCTTCCCATGCTACGTGCCTAACAGCCTGCTGGGGGAGGCGAGGGGGGAGCTGGAGCCCCTTGGCTGTGAGACCACATAGCGCAACACTTGTGTGCAGATAGCGAGGCTGCCTCCAAAACCGCTGCAGCCTGGTGCTGTGCCTTGGCATCCAGCCCTGGCAGGCTCCTTAGCCCGGCTACAGTGCCGTGCTGGTGCCGCCACGCTGCTCCCCGGTCCCCAGCTGGCACCTCTGCCCCACGCTGTGCAGGTCTCCTGGCTTGCGTGGAGCTACCTCGCTGGGGCTGTGGCCTCTGCTGGGAAATCCCCAAGGAACCGGGATGGGGGTCCTGTCTTCCAGATGGTTTACTTGCTGCTTCCCGTTAAGGGGAATGTAACCCGATTCTCTCCTCTTCTGCCTCCTGGCTTGAGTTCAGTGGTGTTAAGCCATCAGAGGTTTGAGGCCTCACTGATATATTATGGGCCTGGAGGCCATAGCTGGCTGAAAGAGAGTGGAGTCCTCCTCACTGTGTCTCCTCACTCTTTCGTCTACTCTGCAACTGAAGAAAATAAATGCCTGTGGCTGGTTCCAGGTGTGTAAGAGGGGCTCTCCACTACCTTGTACTACTGGCTTGTACCTCTGCTGCCAAACAGCCATGACTGGCACCACAGTGGGACTGAATTCTTCCCCATACACTGCTTTTTCTCCACATAACTCCACTGGCCTATGGAGTTATGTCTGACAGAGGAGGTGTCACACAGTCCTCGGTTATCTTAGAGCTTGGTGGAACAGAACAAAGTTGATGTGGAGCTAAAATGTTTGGTGCAAAGTACCTTCCCTCTCCTGAACTGCACAGGGTCTCAAGAAAAAGGACCTGTCTGCTGGGCCACCAATGAGTACTTGATCCCCATGTTCCCCACAATCCTCTTAGAGGACTGCTGTGAGGCAGCAGGTGGAGGAACTGTCTCTGTGTTTGCCTGGGAGCACTCTGAAAACCAGCACCTGAGGCTGCATTGCAGGCACCATGGGAGAGAGACACCATTAAAGGCTGCCAACGTGGTGAGCATGGCTTCTCGGGCTGTGTCCCTCAAAAAATCCCCTCCAGTGTCATGCTTTGTATGCCCTTGTGCCACGAGTAGCTCTTCTCCGTCTCACTAAGAACTGAAACTTCAGTGCCCAAGCACCCTGAAATGCTCCTGGTGAGCGGGGTTGGGGTGAGACAGGCAGAGGGAGGGAGGGCGTAAGCGAAGATATGTCAGCAGCGGTGGCAGATCCTCGGAGGTGGTATGGGGAGGGCTTGGCAACCCTTTCAGTGCTGTCCTATTGCAACAGGAGGGAGGAGGATATACAGAGATTACTTAAAAGCCCCCAACTTTTTCCAGGCTTCTATTGCACTTCAGAAATTCTGCAAGGGAGAAGAGAAAAAAAAAAAAAGAGACTATCTGAAAAGAAGGTATCCTTGCTAACTAAAAAAATTTCCTTTAAGAGCTTACTGCTATTAAATAATTACTACATTTTGAATTGCTGTTTTCAGGAGCTTTGGGAAGAAGTTGTGTTCTCAGCCATGAGTATTTTCTTAGAAGGATGGCATGACTTTTTCATTGCTACATGCTTACTCTGAAATAGATGTGAAAGCAGTTTTGACTAGCTCAAAGAGAAGTCTCTGATCAGCCTACATCTGAGATTTCCCTTAAGGTCATTAGTGGGAGAGAAATAAGTGGATAAGTGCTTTTTTCTTTTTTTTTTTTTTTCCCCCCTTTCCCCTCCTCTTTCCTTTTTATTTTTTCCCCTTCTCTCTGTCGTTCTCAAAAGTGGATTTTCTGGGTGCAGGAGCTAGCCCTTTAGATATTCGGTGTTTGTGTGCATAGGGACAAAAATACAATTTTCCACCAATCATCCACAGACTGTTGTAGGCTGTAGTATTTGGAATGATTGCAATATAACTTTGAATGTCATTTTTATTAGGGGGAGGTAGTGTGTGATGTGCTTTCTGGAAATATAATTTGCTATTTTGGATTCGGTAATGCTGTTTTGGAGGGTGGGAGAGTGAATTATTTTCTAGTTCTTTTACCTGAAACTCCCTAATGTTTTTAATGCCCTGCTTCTCCTAGGCAAATACTTCTGTGTTAGGCTTCCCTCTCCTTCTGCCGCCCCCCCTTCTTCTCTTATTCATGTGTTTTGACAAACACAAAATGCCTTCCAATCCTTAGAGAGCTGTACTCCATCATTGGACTGATGTTTTGCGCCTCTCAGTTTTTATTTATGTGAGTCTAAAAATGTGTAGCTCACTGGCACCCCACACTGTTTTTGGTTTCTCCCATCTTACATGTGCCACGCTGGCTCATGTTCGCTTTTTCCTTGCACTCTTTCTTTCTTTCATGGTATTACAACATTTTTAATACAGGATGTCTGAAACAATAAACACCAACGAAGGGAAGAAGAAAACTCCTCTGAATGGGAGAAGAGCCCTCCCACCAAACAACTCCAACGATGAAGAAAATGAGGTCCCTGAGATGGAAGCTTTTGGATTGATACCTAGAGGATTTAATCCAAAAGGTACAGTGTACAATTAAGACACAAGTCTATTTTTACGTCTTCCATGCTCACCTCTGCCCAGGTCTGTGAATTAAAAGCAAAGGGCTTTTTTTCCCTTATGCTTTGATTGCAGATAGCTTTTATTGCTGCTTGTGAAAAAAACTTACTAACACCACCCATGTGCATGGAAATGTTAACCACGGGTTAAGGGTAAGGAAAGTGAGGAGTGGAGAAGCTGAATTGACCAATCTGCAGCTTGAACCATGGGAGTGGTTAAAAAAAAGGCAAGAATGGGTTTTCCCAATTTGACCACAATCACAGAGTTACTTTAGGACCTGCTGGCTTCAGGCATGGCTGTGGCAGCACTGGGGTGAAGGGGGCAAGAGGAACCTCCCCCCTCTTAAGCCCTGCTGGCTTGAACAGCCTTAAACTGACTGTGAAACTACTGCAAAATGCCGGCTGGCCGGGGAAAGTTTTGCTAGGTGTCCAGTTCACTCATAAAAATGAATGTGAAACTAAAAGGAATCCCCATATTTTTAATTATTCTCCTGTGAAAAGTGTTTCAATTGTTTGGCTGGGGAGACAAAACAGTATCATGGTAGGGGATGGCCAAATCAAACCACGGTCTCGGTGCCAACTCTTTGGAGTGAACCTAAAAAAAAAAAAAAAAAGTAAGATTTGGTTTGAAAGAAAGCAGGATTGGTTCCTGCATGAGTCACCAACCAAATGACATTAATTTTTTGACCTATTTGAAATGAACAGCAGGACTTGTTGAACGTGGCAACTCAGGGCAGCCAGATGTAAAAATACTTAATGTTCGTATGGGACTTTTCTTCCAGGGTTGAAGGAGAGCTTAATAAATGTGGACAAGCATTAATTACCACATTTTACACATTTGGAAACAGGCAAAGAGATTTTAAGCAACAAGTTCAAATTTTTATTGCGAAGCATTATTTCTGTAATCCTCATCATGTGCCTTAACCACGTCGCCCCCCACCCCCCGCTTTTTAATACACACGCATTTCTTTAAAAAGCATTTCTTTTAAAAAATGCCTGAGCCAAACCAACTGGCATGTTAAGACTGTAGAAACTTTGCTTGAACCTTTTCAAACAATCCTGTAGCTGTGGGGCAAGTATGTGTGTTTAAATTGTCAAATGCAATGCAATTCAGGTCCTGACTAGATATCGTTTCAAACCCAGTATGCTCACAGACACTGGAGATGCGTAAGGGTGTGGGGTATCTTAGAAGGAATGCAGCCTGTAGCTAAAACCCACTAGTACCAGGAGAAAGATTCCTATTGCTTTTTGATGTGCTTCACATCAGGCTCTGAATGAGGTACGGCGCAGGTGGGCGGGAGCCTCTTGCTTTTCAGAAATGCAGTGGAAACTTAGAAATGTCAGGTCAAGTGAGCTGCGGCAGGCACCCAGCATGTGCTTAAGGTGATGCTGCTGGTGAGAAAAACGGCCCTTGTCAAAAGCGAGGGTTTGTGTGGACATAGGATGGGCTTGGCTATGGGACTGGTAAGGCTGAAAAATAAATTTGGGCATAATAGCAAAACTCTTTTTGTACAGCTGGATTGGCTCTGCTGTGCAGTTCAGCTCTGCAATTCTTGTAGCAACAACACGCGAGGGGTGACCTGAAGGGAAGGGACTGCAGCACTGTTTCGCCGCACATCAGCTGTGATCTAAGCCTGTGACACCAGCTGATGTAAGTGCGGTCCCTGAACACACTCTTTTGGGGTCGGGTGCTTAAGTCACCTGTCAGACTACGTTAAAGGTTTATAGCCTAATGGAGCTCAGAGCGGGACTGACATCCAGGAGCTGAGCCTGCCCAGAGCGCTCACAGCCTTGTGCTTGGGGGATAAAGTGGGGGTCTGCAGGCGAGGCAGGAAGGGCAGAGTACGGCAGGGCTCCGGCGCCGGGAGCACGTCCTTGCAGAGGACTGCTTGTGCCACCTCCTTCCTCTGCTCCTGCACACCTCTACACTTTTGGGTTGTCCGAATTTTTTGTAGTGGTTCCCACATTTCATTGCCATAACACAGTGAAAAAAAACCCCATGCAAATGCTTTTATCCCTGCTGTTACAACTGAGGTGTTTTCTAGCTCTTGGGGTAGGATTGGACACGTACTGTAAACATCCAAATGTCAGCGTCTTCACCTGTGTCAGATCATAGTCAACACAGAGCCACCCAGTGAGTGGCGGTGAGGGCACAGGCTGTCCGGAGAGGCAGCGGGTGTCACTTCCAGGGGGATCTGTACCCTTCTCTCTGCTCCGCTGGTGGCAGCAACTGGCTGTACTAAGAGGTTACATACCAGGCTCACATCATTTAGGTGCCTAAATTTAACTGAATCTTGCCCTTGATCTGTGCAGTGTAGGTGTCTCAGCTAAGCTAGTCACCCTCATTTCACTTGACAGCCAACAGAGAGAAACAGGCATTTTTAGGGTGTGATTCATTTGACCTATTTTAGCTACTACTCTAGGATGAGGTAAAGCCCTGCGCTTGACTAGCTCTCTGCTGACACCCACTTCTACTCCTCTGCATCACAGCCGGCACGAGTGGCAGAGGCTGCCGGGGATGGCTGCCTCCCCAGCCCAGTCAGTGGGCTGCCTGCTGCGGGACCCCAGCTTGCTTGCAGGAGGAGATGCTCAGGGAGGAGGACGCGCAGCCCCCGAGTGCTGCTTCGGCAAGAAACCTATGTCTCCGTGAACATGCCTGTGCTGTGTCCTCCCCCCGGCTCTTCCTAGCCAGCTCATCTCACTGCAGTGTGTTACAAGTGGGCCTGGCACTTACAGCCACTCGGTGGGAGGACACAGCCCTGCGGCCCCCCACGGTCTACAAGCTCCCCACGCACCCTCCTTTGCAAAGTTTGGCGACTCCCCAGGGAATCGTGCTTCCCCTGCTAGCAGAGAGATGGGCGTCTCCTTTGGAACCTCATGCTATCACGTTTGCAATCCAGAGCCCTTTCTAGTCCAGCAAGAAAGCCTGATGTTTGAAGGCTATTCTTGTTATTTGAAAAACAGCTCAAGCTTGTGCTCATTTATTTCCATGCAAGCTTGATGTTGCAAAACCTTTAAGAAAGCATCAGACTGCTGCCTCTCACGCAGCAAACCTGCTTGCACTGAAGGGCAGACTGGGCTACGGGCAAACTGTCAAATGGACAGAATCACAGGATCGTTTAGGTTGGAAAAGACCTTTAAGATCACCGAGTCCAGCTGTAAACCTGACTGCAACGGAGCCCTCGATGGCCCCCTGTCCCTCACAAACAGATGAGCAGTGACGTGCGCAGCGCCTGGACCCTTCCTTTTGATCATACTCTGGTGATGGGGATAGCACGTCCCATTACCCCGCTCACGTTTTATCCTCTGTAATTACCATTACTGTAATTAACACAGGCTTGGTCACAGATTATCTTTGTCTGGCAAGCTCAATGTACATTTTAACAGTGAGAGTGGAAGTGAAATGTGTTTTCTGCAGATGTGTACAATGTACATTTTAACAGTGAGAGTGGAAGTGAACTGCAGATGTGTGTGGCCCTGTTTCGACAGGAGCCATGTAAAGTCCTGAGATGAAATGAAGTGAATGATGAGCTGATGGCCCAGGGTGGCTTAGCTTTGCAGTTCCTTGAAGGGGCTAACATGCAAAGGAAGGGCAGGGTCACTGATGCCTTTTATTTTGGAACATGAGATGAAAACACGGCAAACCCTCAACTCCATTTTTATGCCTCCTTGGAAGGAGGGAGGAGCAGAGCCAAACTTACAGATAGCTTCACCCCTCACAAAGCCCCAAGATATGCAGCTTTTACATGCAGTGCTTTCAGCCTGGGAGGGGTTGGGAGGCATAACGGGAGAGAGTCTCCCCTGCCCCTGCTTTACCCCCCTCCACACCCTCCAGGAAATGCCTGTCTCACATGAGTTAATCACAAGCTTTGTCAGTGTTATTGTGAGTGAGCATTGCTAAGTTTTGCAGGGAGGGAGGCAAAGGCATGCCCCACTTCGCAGAGGGGCAGGGAGAATGTTTTCTGAGCAAAATGCATTTAACGTTTCACACAAAATCCATCTCTGTAACTTCAGCCAGCACTAAAGCCAGTGGGGATCTACAGAAGTTACTCCAGAAGCCTGGTGAATTGAGAGGAGAATAACAATAACATTTCCATGGGACTTTAAGCCTGCCTTAATACTGAATGGGGTATTCCAGCCTTTCCGCAGATTGGGCTCAGCAGGAGGCAGGTGGTTGGGGGTTCGGTTGTCCAGGGTTTTTCCATAAGAAGATCTTTAGCTTGCTGGGTCCTCAGGCAGTTTCCTTTCCTTCTCTTTCCCACAGGACAGGGCTAGGCAGGAGCGGGACCTGGTCCTGCTGCCCTTATTTCCCCCTCTCCCGTTAGCTGTCGCCCAGAGCCCAGGCTGGGTGGCTTGGCCAGGGCAGGGGAAGGACCATGCTGGCATCCAGGGAAGTTGCTGCCTGTAGGGCTCTGCTGATGTCTCCAACGCGTCCTTGCAAAAAGGCAGGGCTAACGCATGTGCTGCCGTGGTCTGGAGGCTACACACCCGAGAGCGAGCTGCTCTGCTGCTTGTCCAGAGCCGGCCACTATTCGGTGTCTGCCCCTGCCTTCAAGGAAAAGCAGTGTGCAAAGCTGTTTGTCTGAGCTTCTGTGAAATGGGACCCATTCAGCCCTCAGTGACTTGGATATCCGACTCATTCG